TCCTCTCCCCACACCCACCCGCCCCCTCCGCCCTCCTCGCCTTCCTCACCGCCTACCGCGCCACCGGCCGCACCCGCGCCCTCTTCCTCCTCCGGCGCAAAGCCTACCGGCACTCCTACCGCTCCGCGTCCCTGTGGGCCACAGCCGAGATGCTCTTCCACCGCGCGCGCACCGAGCCTGCGCTCGTCCTCGCCGTCTTCGCGCAGCACTTCCACCCCATTGGCGTACCGCGCGCGTCCGTCCGCCGTCTCCTTCGCCGCAGCGCCAGGGAGAGGGACGGGGAGAGGGCCGGGAAGAGGGCGGGTGGGCGCCGCCTGGTGTCCCCGCAGTATCCCATGAAGGAGAAGCTATGGCCGACGCCGGTCCATACTGCGCTTGTGTGGGAGGCCGTTGTGTGGATGACGCCCGACGCGGGGCACGACCGGCTCTATGCGCACCTCCTGCGTGTCGCGCGCGCGAGCAGGGACCAGGCCCCCGTGAGCGAGGACCCCTCATTCTCCCCGTCCTCCCCGTCCCCCCACGCGAACCCCTCTCCCTCCCCGTCCCCACCACACACCCGCACACCCTCCCTCTTCCTCCCCCCTTCCCCCGCCCTCACCGCCGCGCACTTCTCCCCCTTCATCAAGGCCCACGCAAAACGCCGCCGCCCCGCGCGCGCCGCCGCCGTCCTGCGCGACATGCTCGCGCTGGGCGTCGCGCCCGGGGTGCGGCAGTGGAGCATGGTCGCGCGCGGGTATGCGGAGTATGGGGAGGCGGGGGTGGCGATGGGGGTGGTGGGGGCGTTGGAGGGGGGCGTGGGTGGGGTTGGTGGGGAGGGGGTGGGTGAAGGTGTGGTGGGGAGCGAGGTGGGGGAAGGTGCGAGCGCGACGCCGCCCGTCCGTGCAAACCTCGCGCTGTACACGAACGTCCTGCGCGGGTTCGTCTTCGCGAAGCGCCTCGAGTGCGCGCGCGAGGTCGCGCGGCGGATTAGGGAGCGGTATGGGGGCGTTTTGGGGGACGTCGAGGGGCGTGGCAGTTTGGTGGACGTCGAGGATCTGGTGGATGGGAAAGAGATGCGTGGTGGGGATTTGGTGGATGGGGAGGAGCGTGGTGGGGATTCGATGGATGGGAATGGGACGCGTGGTGACCTGGCGCGCGAGGAGGGGTTCGATCCGCGCGCGACGAACGAGGCGCTGCGCCTCCTGCGGGTGCTGGAGCGCCAGCAGTCGCTGTAGCTTGGACGTCGGCGGTTACTTTAACTCGAGCGCCACCACCCACTTTAGCTCGCTAGGTTACCCGTGCGTGCTCTTTTCGGTGGATTTATCAGGACGCGTGGGCTGATGCGTTTCTTAAATTCTTCTAGCTCTCGTCGGCGTGTATCAGACGCGTGCGCTGGACACGCTTTCGCGCCCACTCCTCACGCACACGCCCTGCGCAGATGTACATACACACACACCCCAAGCACATGCACGCCGCCCCTAGCACACGCACGCCACCTAAACATTAAACCCCGGCCTCCCGCGAAGCGCCGTTCCGTCTCGCACTCCCTATACCTTACTTGGCTCGGAACCCCCGCTTGGAACTACATACCTTACCTGGCTCGGAACGCAAATCTGAATCACTGATCGCACCAAGGCCCGAGGTTCGCCGATCACGCGTGAATGTGGAGCGCGAAGGCTTCATGGGGACATGGAGAGGCTCCATGGCCATGGGACCGGGGTATACGTGCTGTATTATGGCAGTGTACGTAGTGGGTGGGGCAGATGACTGTGGGGGACGGGGCGAGATAACCGTGGGGGAGCGGCAGTACGGGGAAATGGGTGACGGTGTACCGAGGAAGTGAGTGACAGTGACAATGACTATGACTATGACAAAGAGCTGGAGCCGGAGCGGTCCGTGGAGCAGAGCTAGAGTGTCCCTGATAACAAGTTAGACGAATGATATCGCAACAATATATACAGAGCAGCGTCGATAATATAGATGGTTTTGGTTTGCGTGTCAACGGGGGGCTAGGACTGAAGGCAAGCTGAAGTGTGAAGTATGGTGGACCGTTTTACGGAAGTAAAAGTAAAATGCGCAGCACAGAACGTTAACGAAAGGAAGCGGTACAACGAACGAAAAAGCAAATAGCAAACAACAAAAGCACGCATAACTGACCCATTCCATTCCGCATGGCGTCACAATTACGACGGTTTCCGGAGGTTAGTATACGCAGGCGGCAGCTCGATCGTCTCCGGCTGCTGCCCCGACTCGTCCTCCTCCGCGGGCACACCCGCATCGTCATGCTGGATGATATTAACCGGCCTCAGCTGCCGCGGCATCGCCGACTTGCGCGAGCTCGTGATGCCCGTCGAGCTCGTCGCGACGCCGCCGCCGTGGGCATCCAGCTCGGGCGTCGCGGAGCGGAGGTCCGTGTAGCTCGTCCTCCCCGACTGCCTGCGGTCGGAGGACCCGAAGCCGTAGCGCGACCCGGCGTGGCTGTACGCGTACTGCGACCCGGCGTTCCCGCCGTCCTCCTGCGCGTGCGCGGAGGAGACGTCGGTCGGGGCGGTGGCGAGGAAGGGCTCGGGGCGGTAGTAGTGCGGGAGGTCGCCTTGGGGCTGCGAGTCGTCGTCGTCGGGGTCGCCGCCCTGGAGGAGGTCGACGGGGCGTTCTTTGTTGTGCGCTTTGGGCGAGGTTTTGCGCCGGATGAGGTAGAACCCGATGAGGGCGATGATGAGGAGCGCGGCTAGCCCGCCGATGACGCCGCCTGTATGGGGTGGGTTAGGTTAGGTAGGAAATGGTTGGACTGCGGATCTCACCGACTATGGCTCCGACGTTGGTTGAGCTGGGGTGCGAGGTAAGAAGATGATTTGGACGACAGTGAGTGCGAGTGCGCTTACCTTCCCCCGCTTCCACCCGAAGTAGACGAGCCATCGGCATTCGTGGGGTAACTTCCGCCCGCGGGAGGCCCCGCCGTCGACGATGGCGAGTTGTCGCTGAGGCAGGAATTGTCCGGATATATCCCAGATTGGACATTATAGGGCTCGCTGCCGCCCGTCCCGAGCCCCCGATTATCGCCAGCGACGATCAGCAGCGTGCTCCCCGCGCGGACGTTGGGCGTCCACGAAAAGCCCGTGCCCTCGTTTTGAACTTGGGATATCGTCGACTGGGGAATAGAGAAGGACTGGCCGCCGGGGATGACGCCCTGGAAGGAGGGCGTTCTGGGGTTGTTGTGAGGTTAGGCTGGCACTGCGCGGGGAGACGAGCGGGCTTACCCTTGCACTTGGTCTGGAGTCCACCATAATCTGCTCGCGTTGCACTGCACGACCTGGTTTGTTGGATATATGTTGAAAGGGAAATCTGGCGCGACGTTCTGTGTCGCGTTGTAGCAGGAGCTGTCGCTGCTGCTCATCACCGTGGCGGCGACACTGGTGCCACCCGTCCCGAACCCTGTGCTATCGCTGACCTGTGGGCGGCGTGATCATCAGCTCCACAAATTACGGAAGTGGTTGGAGTGGGCGCAAAGTCGTGCAGGAAGTGCGGAACCAACACGTACCACTGCAACAAACTGGGAATTCGTGGGGTACTTGAGCTGAAAGCTGACACTCGTCGAGTCTCCCGAGAACGGCTGGTTCACGATCGTCCGTGCCTCGATGTTATTGGGGAGCGTCGTGGGGCCATACGGGATAACGAGGACGCTATAAGGCGGTGAGCCCGAGCCCTGGATATCGAGAGACAGGGTCCCGCATTGCTGGGGCTGGCTGGTGAATGTGAAGGAGTAAGCAGAGGCGAGTGGAAGCGAAGAGGACAGGGCGAGATATAGTGCGTATTCCAGGGCTGCTAGCGAGGTCGGCATAGTGTTCGTAAAATAGAGGAGAGATCCTGTCCTTATCCTGGGTAAGGGCTTAGTATCCGGGTGTCATAGGCGCAGGCAACGGCTGCAAGGACGTGGTGCAAAACAAAAGACGGCGAGGTTGCTTGGGAGCGGCGATGATGCTGACCGCGCCACACCGTGTCCTGGTCCGGCGTCGGAGCTCAATTTTGGTAACATCATATGCTAAAATGTGGGTATAAATATCCGCCTTTCTTTTTCCGCAGCAGCGCTTCGCGTCTTCCTGCCCGAGTTGTCTCGAGGTGTTCCAGGGGACTTTTCCTGTGAAGCATCGATGGCATCACTGATAAAGATAAAGCTGCTGGAGCGGTTACATACTTAGAGCTTGCAACTTTGCCTCGTCAAAGAATCAACGCTCTCAGAGTCATCTTGTACGCATCCTAAATATAGGGTATACATTCCCACGCTCTCCCTTGTTCAGTGAACCCCGCGTCGCATAACTAAACTTGCTCTTCAATTCCCTTCACCGTCGGTCGGTGCACTCGTGTTTCAGATTATTAGAGCATACATCCTACTCCAGCATAGTACACTAGTCTAATTTAATAGCCGCTAATCACCCCCGCAGCGCGACACCCACCATGTCATCACCCACGGACACCCCGCCTCGTGCGCCTCCCATCAAGTACACCGCCCATCTGGGAACTCGCTGGCAGAAAGAGAAGGCCGCCGCAGGTCACGGCGCCTTTGAATTTCCCGAGGACCCAAAATACATAGGCCAGTGGGTCATCGGCGAGTGCGTCGGCAAAGGAGCGAGCGGCCGCGTCAGGATCGCGAAACATCGCCATACTGGCCAACTCGCCGCCGTCAAGATCCTTCCCCTCCAGCCGATAATGAACTCTCGGGCGTCCCTCGCTACCCAGCAGGCGAAATCCGAGAAACAGCGCCTCGGGATCGACAGGGAGATCATCATGATGAAGCTCATGAACCATCCCAACATTCTTCGTATTTACGACGTCTTCGAGGGCGAGAAGGAGCTTTATCTGGTTCTCGAATACGTCGAAGGTGGCGAGCTGTTTGACTTCCTTGTCAATCGCGGAAGGCTTCCGCCCCTCGAGGCTCTGGCGTACTTCAAGCAGATCGTCTACGGACTCAACTACGCGCACACATTTTCTATCATCCACCGCGACCTCAAGCCCGAAAATATTCTGATACACTCGCTACACCCACCACTCATTAAACTAGCCGATTGGGGCATGGCCGCCTTCGCCCCTCCTGCACTGCAACTCGAAACTAGCTGTGGCAGTCCTCACTATGCGAGTCCCGAAATCGTGAATGGCTGGAAGTACAAGGGGAACGCAACCGACATCTGGAGCTGCGGCGTGATATTGTATGCTCTCTTATCTGGTCGACTTCCATTTGACGACAAGAACGTTCGAACGCTTCTTTCGAAGGTCAAAGCAGGCAAGTACGACATGCCGGCATATATCGATCCCCAGGCCAAGGATCTCTTATCGCGAATGCTTGTCGTAGACGTAAATCGCCGCATAACGGTATGTGTACCCCTGAGTGTCAAGTCTTGTTTTAACACTGACGCACGCACCAGATTACTGAGATATTGGCTCATCCGTGGTTCAACAAAAACACGCCTGGTATTCTCTATGTCCCTGCTCCTAGCGTCACGGAACTGGCTCGTCCCCTCGCATCTGCTGCCCATGTAGATCAAGATCTCTTGGAATCTCTACGCATCATCTGGGGCCGACATGGCGATGTTGACATTATCATGACCGATCTCATGAGCCCCGCCGGCGAAGGGACCCTCGCCAAGGCCTTTTACTTTCTTCTCCACCAATACCGCGAGCAGACCCTCAAGGACAATGGCATCATCCTCGATATCGATCATAGCCTTGCAGAGAAGGCTATTACCAAGCAGTATATGGCGCCACCCGCCCGAAAGCCCAAGGTTGAAACTGGCGCGCGTACCTTACGCCTACGCAGCAGTCGCGATGCACCGTCCCCGCCGTCGCGCAGTCCCTCTCCAAATCCCCCTGGAATGTCTCCGCCGTCCCCTGGCAGCTCCTCTCGTAGCAGGCCTCCCTCCCCAGTTGGCCCGAGGGCGCCCCGAAACCGTCCGATTTCTTCTCCCGTTGCTCCCGAGGTGCCCACTAGGCACAAGAGCATGCATGCAAGCCCGGTTCTTAGGCCTCCGCTCAGCGTTCACACCGAGCCAAGCTATCGTGCCAGAGCGTCGACTGCATCTATGTTGTCTCCCCGTCTGGGCTCCGAGCCGGTTACTTACCTTGGCCACAACCAGCAGATGTTCCAGCCTATGCATGCTCCCGCGACTCCTCCTATAGGCTCGCAAACCCGCTTTCCGTTCTCCCCAGCACGCAACTCTGCCCAGCCCGTTCTCAGCCCTGGCATCATTCGTGCGCCGTTTCCGATTTCGGGTGCTAGTCTTCTGCAGGACTCAGCCCCCATGCTCGCAGCTCCGAGGACTGGGGACGCAGGTGTTCAGACCACGGTGGATACGATCGCTGATCGAGTCAACGTCCTTGTCGCTCGTGATAGCGCTGCACAAGCACGGGACATTCGGTCACCCGCACAGGACCACGTCGACAAGTTTACTGCTTTGGAGCCATCTGTGTACTATCGGCCTGACGCGGTTGCTCTGCCCGAAGACGTTTACCGCCACGGACGGAACCACGAGAACAAGGAAAACCGGGGCGGCGGCCATAGCCAGTCATTGGTAAATGCACGCGACTTCATGAACGTCTCAGGCGGTTT